GGGGGAAAAAAAGCAAAATAAGAGGCATAGCGCTAATAGGAGCCGTGTGTCTCTGTAAAAAGAAACCTGATGAAATTGCTTCCCCTGGTGCTGACAACTCAGTCCCGGCACTGGGTGGTTCTAATAGCTGCAGGCAAAAAGAACTATTTCCATAGTGCAGCTCCTAATGATAATGTAAATTTCACTTAAGTATATATGATTACAGAAAATTACTCAGAATTGCTACAGACTTTGTGCCTTACTGTTTATGGTGCAATATAGATTTTTCTTTCTCTAAATTCAATGGAAGACAAACCATGTTGAGGCCAGAAGAGACATGTCTACAGCATTGGGTTAAGTGGGTGTATTCAAATCTGAACTCAGTTTGTCACTAATTCTCTGGGTGCTGACAATGGCATGGGAGACAGGAGGAGACTGTCTACCACATTCGCCACTCTACAGAGCCCGACTTAAAATGGAGAGTTTGACGGAGTCACCCAGTCTCCCACATCAATGAGAGTTTGCGACAATGGCAACTTTTCAAAGGCACACACAGCTGGACATGTGGGAAGAGATAATTCTGCTGTGTCTCATCTAGCCTGGGCTGGCCTCAGCTGGTTTTCCCCCCATGCGTGACTGTTGTATATCCCTGGTGAGAGTCTCTCCCGGCTCTGCATTCTTCTCCTTTGTTCTTTATTCATATCGTTACAGCTGCCCTGGTCACCAACAACTATGTGCTGAAATGAGTTGAACTGGAGTTGGATGAGACTTCATATTTCTGACTTTTCTCCAAATATTTTTAATCAAGCCATCTCCAGAAAAACAATCAAGATCAACTATAGTCTCTAAGATACCTAAAGTAGCATTTGAGCCAAACATCGAAGGGCAATCCCATCGATTCATGATTTCCTCCTTTCACGGGTGATTCCCGAGGGCAGCACGACCTTGGAGCTCATGGACACTTCACTTTGGCCATCCCCATGAGTGCTCCAGGATGTACCTACTGCTTTTAGGTTAGGGTGAAGAGCAAGAAGTTCTCAGTTGGGACTTCAACAGCTCAGGGGAAAACAACATTGAAATTTTAAAAGCAGAAAAAAGGTTTCTTCAAAACATTTAAGTTATTGAGCCCTGCGCAATAGCCTAAAACTAAAAATCCTCACCTTGCACATGTTGGGTTCACACATGGGCGTCACTTCTAATCCTGGCAGCCCCTCTTCCCATGCAGCTGCCTGCCTGTGGCCTTGGAAAGCAGTAGAAGACAGCCCAAAGCCTTGGGATCCTGCACCCACGTGGGAGACCTGGAAGAAGCTTCTGGCTCCTGACTTTAGATTGGCTCAGCACCAGCCGTTGCAGCCACTTGGGGAATGAACCATTGAACAGATCTTCCTCTCTGTCTCTCCTCCTCTCTGTATATCTGCCTTTCCAATAAAAATAAATCTTAAGAAAACTGTTATTTATATATAGAAAACCAACTGAACGTATTTCCTTTCCTTTAAATTGTTGCTATGACGTACTTTAAATTGACTTTGAATCACAAGCTTAATTCTCCACAAAATAAATAATTCAACAACTCACTACTTTTGGGGCGAACAGAAAACCCACTTTTTCTCAGGGTTACAAACAATAATCAAACCTCATAATGTCAATTTCACTCATACACATTACATTTTTTATAATCTATAGTTACTACATGTCAGAGAAAACATATTTGTCTTATCAGCTTATCTAAGCATAATGTTCTTCAATTGCATCCATTTTGTTGCAGAAGATAGGAATACTTTTTAACAGCTGAATACTATTCCATTTTGTGTATTTCTATCACAGTTTCTTTATCCAGGCATCAGTTCATGGTCATTTGTGCTAAGTCCTTGTCTTAGCTGTTGTGAATGGAGCTGCTGTAAAGATGAGGATAAAAACAACTTTGATTTGCTGACTCTATTGCTGACTTAATTTCCTTTGGGTAAATTCCCAGGAGTGGGATGACAGGATCACACAGCAGACCTATTCAATTTATGAGGTAAGTCCATACTGCTCATTTCCATTAAAGTCAAGGCAATTCTGTGAGCAACATCTGCCATCTAGCTAACCCTCAAAAAATTGAGGCTCCTGGGACTATACCCATGGTGTACAGTATTCCCATTGTCAACAAAAGAGAAATGGATGCCTTTTGACTATATTTTACGTTAGGATTAGGAAAGAGAATGAAATCAGAAGACTCAAATTCGGGATGTGATGTGGATTCCAGTGATGCCGCACTGAAGGGCCCTTGCCATTCCCCTGGTGTGACTGGAGGAACGACCAGCAGCTTTGTTCTGGAGGATTCTGGAAAATCTCCCCGGGGAACCTTTCCTACTGGCATTTGTTACTCCTTGCATTTCGGCCATCCTGACAGCGGTAAGGTGGGATCTCACTGTGATTCTGATTTACATGTCTTTAATGGCTACTGATGCTGAACATATTTAAAATGTCTGCTAGCTGTTTGTATTTCTTCTTTTGATATCTACTAAAGTCTCCGACCATTTATTAATGGAGTCTTGCTTTCTGACACACTGTAGATGTGATTCCTCCATCAAACGGTTAGTTTGCAAATGTTTTTCCTATTCTGTAATGTCGCTTCACTCCACTGACTGCTTCCTCTTCTGTGTAGAAGCTTGTGAGTTTGGTACAATTTGATTTATCTAGTTTTTTTTGTTAAGCATCGGTAATATTACTATTCTTCCACTCATGTTTCATTATAAATTTCATGAAATTTTGGCAAAATTCATGTTGCTCTGTTAAGATTTCCTATCAAATATACATTTAAAAAAAAAAAAAAAACATTTTAGTTTGTTTTCATTTTACTTGAAAAGCTAAGCACCAGAAAGAGACAGGAACAGAGACATAAAAACACAGGTCTTCTATATACAAAACGGCAACAGCACCCAGGGCTGCACCAGGCTGAGGCCAGCATCCCCAAACTCAGTCTGGGTCTTTCAAAGGATGGCAAGAACTCAAGTACAACTTGAGCTGTCAACTCTTGCCTCCCAGGGTGTATATGAGCAGGAAGCTGCATCAAAAGGAACGGCAGCCGGGACTCAAACCAAGAGCTCCGATACAGGATGTGGGCATTCCAAGTGGCATCTGAGCTGCTGGGCTAAACACTCATAATGTTTCTGGCAGTGCCTCAAGCCAGATCATGCTCAGGCGTTATCACAAGTTCATGTGAGTTTATTTTAGTGTAAAAATAAAATTTGAAATCCATGCACAATTCTTTTGTAGTATGCATTTTCCATGAACCCTGGAAGATTCCTCACAGTGGAGCTGGTTTCCCTCACAGGGTAGAGGCTTCTCTGCGGTTGGGGGATGGGCTAGTCAGGGAAAAGAAAAGCATAAACTTGATCTGCACAGAATCCTGCTAGAATGGAGCCAAATGTCCCTCTTCGGCCATAACTTGTATTTTGGGGAAAAGGAAGAAATACAAAGAGACTACATCTCCAACCCAAACATGTTCTATCCTTCATCAATGTATCTAGTCATCACTGTGTTCACTTTCCAGCTATTAAAGCAAAAGGTAATTATTCTATAACCAGCTGGTAATTATAATGTATAAGTGAGTATCTATCCGTCTCTAGACTGTCCAGTCTGCTTGACCACTGGATCTGGAATTCTTGTAAGAAAATGAAATCTCTGGAAGTGCTTTCAAGCAGGGTCGGTGATTGGTGCCATGTGAGACAGTGCAACTAAAGTGTGCTGATGGTTTCTGCAGCAATTCTCAGACCACAGTCTTCAGACATGTGAGAGCTGTCCACAAATAACTCTGAGGCGAAGCCCAAACTGCTATTAATGCATTCTGATTTTAAGCAGGTACAGAGTTTGCGTGTGAAAACAAAACCCATGAATTTCCTTTTCACAATTTTAATGGACGTCTCACTTCCCCTACATGAATTAAGAATCAGTGGGAATGGCCTAAATAGGTATAGGAGTCACACCAGCAAGTGAATTGTGTGGAACCCTGCATTGTCATGTGAATTTTCACTCTCTGAGATTTTTTTATCACATCATTCAGAAGGCTTCAAATATGAGGCAATAATTTTTGGGAAATTTAAACACAATAATAAAGTGAATTAATACACAAAATTTTCCCATAAAGAAATGTCATTTAAAGGCCATCTCTTACTCATTTCTTTGTATTCTCTGCTATCCACTACACATTTCTTGCAATCCTATAACTTCTGCCTTAATATTTTCATTGTGCTCATCAGAGACATGTTGCCCAATAAGAGGTTTTCCAAATGAACAAAGAAAAGGGGAGAAATGATAAAGTCTAAAGGAACACCAGTATTTATATGAGTATGGTTGAAATCCAGTAGCTTGACATTTTCTGATTTATAAATTAGAGGTGAAAAATAAAAGCTTCTTGGGAACATGTGAAAGGATGAGAAACACGAGAGCTATTTGCTAAGGGTAGAAAATCAAGCAGGGGTTCCTCAACCCTTTTCTGGAAGGCATCATTTCTTTTATTTAAGTGGGACAGTTGTATATCTCCAAATGACTGCGCTGGCTAGATCTGAACTGACCCAACACCAGGGGTTTTTTCTGTCTCTCTCTGGTGGGTGCAGGGTTCCAACACCTTGGGTCATCCACCGCTTCTCCAGGCTATAATCAAGGATTCAGACGGGAAGTTGAGCAACTAGGACATCGCTCCCATACTGGATGCTGGCACTTGCAGGCAGAGGAATAGCTGGTTGAGCCATGCACCAGAGACTTTAGATTTGGTTTATTCTAAGTAGAAAGATGTCAGCATCCTAGACTAATTGATGTCACTGGGTGATGAAGTATTCCATTCTTCCAAATAAATTGCTTAAGAGACTCTAATGTTCTTCCTCTAAACTGTGACTATTTAGTCATCAGGTACTCACAGTAGCAAACTTTCCTTGGTTCTTACTATTTTACATTTTGAATAGAGATATTCAAGGATTGATCAGTTTGCCAGCACTGTGTATCTTAAATATCTAAAAGAAATATAAATATATATACACATACACACATATTTATACGTAAAAAAGAGAGCAGACGAATGAAATACTTACTGTAGGATGAATTGGCCTTTTTGTTCTTCATTTATTCATTTGTGTCCTCCACCCAATTCCTTTCCTCAAGGGACCAGTTAGGATCATTCGCAGAAAAATAAGTCTTTGATTGTTGAGTTTGGCTTATTCTGCTGTTTAGAAGGTGCGACAATTTTATTCCTAAAATGAAAGAGACAGATTTTGTAAGCCAGAACACACAAGGGAAATCCACTTTCCTTGAAAAGTCTGGCATCTTCTTAACCTGGTGCTTCAGGCAGTTTTACAGAAAGCAATTTTCAGGCTCGTGCAGAGGCATGGTCACAGAGCATGAACCTGGGCCCGCGAGGAAATGAGGAGTCTGCACCCTATGTACCTGCCACTTAGAGAGCCCGAGGAACTTGGCTTACCAAGACTTTCTCTGCATTTGATCTGGCAGAGAAAAACAACATGCATTCTAAGACAACCAAAACACACGCTACAGTCCTTTGTGTCATAATTAAATGCAATTGGCTGATTACACTTACTGACAGCACCAACATTTCCCCTCTTCTAGAAAATTATGATTCTTCACTTCCTCAACTTAATTTTGGTTTGTCTCAAACCTAACATAGTAAATGTTAAGATATACATAAATGAGATAAAATAGATGCTAACTGTGTGATATTGTTAGGGCTCCTCAGATGGTTGAAAGCGGTGTCACATCAGAAATCATCAAAAATAACTCGGAATTTCACTAGAAAATGTATGGGTAAGCACCCTGAAAATGCTGCTCATACTTGATAAAAATTTCTACGGCTATCCAACCAGTTTTGTATGTTTTCCTGTAAAAATCATACTTCAGTCAAATGATTACCATGCTATGCAAAATAAGGCATGATTTATTCAAAGCCACAAAAAATGAGGTTTTAACACAAGACATCATTTTTAAACACACATTGCTTAAATATTTGGCAATTGTGACCAAGGTTATAATATCAGACATGTAAAACTAAAACAAATTTAAATGCACTTATAGTAAGAGGCTAATATGATTTGATAACTGATGCAATCACTTTATTGAGCATACTTTTGCAAAAGGTATTAAAATTTAACTAAAATCCAAATTTTACATAGTTTTGTTTCTTACTAAAACTTCATTTTGTGTAGACATTGGATGGTGCTGGTGTCAGTGACACCAAACCAACTACCGAGCTTTCTCGTGCCAAGAAATGGGTTTGATAGACATTCCTTAAGTGAATTGACTGACTTGGCCTATTGTTTTGCCAACTTCTCTTTCATGTAGACACAGTCTAAGAGAAAAATAGCTCCACTTATTTCCTTTGGCATTTATCAGGCAAATGGGTTCCTGTAGACAAGTTGTTCTCCAGTAATAGAACAGCTAATAAATCTAACCAGAGAACTCTTCTTAAGCAGCCGATTATTCTTGTGTTTGGATCTTGTTTCTATCCACTCACAGTTTATAGTAAGCTTGTTTTTTTTTTTTCCCTGCAGTTCCCAACTCCCTTCATTCTGTGCTTGGCTGTAGATGGACAGGATCTGATGTCCAATCAGACTCTAAAGTCAAAAGATTTCACATTTTCAAGAACTTCTATGTTCATCATCCTAATGATTGAATCATTCATTTTCCTTATTAGTGATACAAGAATTCTCATTACTTTCCTGGTTAACTCATGATACAATCAGATTCCTGAGGAAGCAAAAGTATGATTGTAAAAAATAAGTTTCATTGTTGAAATCAGATTTAATCTAAGAAGTTCATTTGAAACACACACACACACAAACAACAACAATAAAAAAGAAGTTATGACAAAGGAACTGTTATCTCGATTTGTCAAAAAAAAAAAAAGGAAAACAAAGGCCAGAAAAGTCATATCTTAAAAATAATCAAGAGTACATTAAGGACATTGTGGAGAAATTGAAGCAAAAAAATGTACTTCAATGTAAACATTTTTAAATCTGTGTATAATTTTCTTTTTTTTAAAGATTTATTTTTATTATTTTTTCATTGGAAAGGCGGATATACAGAGAGGAGAGACAGAGAGGAAGATCTTCCGTCCGATGATTCACTACCCAAGTGAGCGCAACGGGCCAATACTATGCCGATCCGAAGCCAGGAGCCTCTTCCGGGTCTCCCACGCGGGTGCAGGTTCCCAAAGCTTTGGGCCGTCCTCGACTGCTTTCCCGGGTCACAGGCAGGGAGCTGGAAGGGAAGCGGGGCTGCTGGGGATTAGAACCGGCGCCCATATGGGATCCCGGGCGTGCAAGGCGAGGACCTTTAACCACTTGCGCCACCGCGCCGGGCCCGAGTGTATAATTTTCACAAACACTTTTAAGTGAAAAGTCCAGGAGTAAATTTCAACTTATTTGCTGTGCAAAAAAAAATATAACTTTTGGATCAGATTTTCATGAATATCTTTCAGCGCTACATACATGTAAGTGTACACCTGTGAGTTCTGAGTCCCTAAGATCGCACGTATGAGTTGCTTCGCTGTAGTCACTGGCCTGGGAGCTCCACCCGCACCATGATAAACCCCCTGGAACAGCCTGCTGACATAGGGACTCTATACCAGCAATCTCCTTTCCCCTTACATTAGGAAAGAATTCCATATGCACCTACCAGTCATTTCCTCCAAAGGGCCAAGTGGTTTGGATACAACAAGATCTGAGTTGAACCTTTGCCTTCAACTGAAACTGAACCTAAGTCATGTTTGAGGTTCAAAAAGTTGAGTTAACTTTTTCCCCTTTATTTTAATTTTTGTGCATCTCTGCACTTCCTGATTTTGGTTGGGAGTAGAAACCAAAATACCGCAAGAAAAGCTATTCTTGTTGCATTTCCAGCCTTTCAAAGCCAAAAAGCACTAGAAATCTCATGAAGAAAACAGTTCCCACCTAATTTCCAGCCCCAAAAAGTTCAGATAAGTTTGAATAAACTTTGGATAATGTTGCATCTATTACTTGGAAAAAAAAAGTCTAAGACAGGCAGTGGTAAAAGCTCTGAGATGATAGAAGGAGAGAAGAAAATAAAATGACAACAAATTGGAAATTTCTTCAGCTCAAACTCAGGACATTATTGTAGTCCAACCAGCATCCGCTTTACAGCAAAAAGAAAAAAAAAAGGCAGAATCTCGCACAATTTGGATGAGACATTTGAGCTAAACTTCTTAAACATTTCCCTCCTCAACTTAATCTTCACATTTGGATTATCTTCATATTATTTATAACGAAATCAGTAAAAGCCATTTTTAAATATGGGGAGGAAGGACTTAACAGTATATTCCTGATATTTCTGGCACTTAACTGTTAAAGCTGTCGGCCAGTTTATTCAGTGCTGCACAATAGCTATCTATTTGCCCAACACATACAGAGTGAATTCTTAGTACCAGCAAAGAATCACTGGACGTCAGTCAGATAGACACTTTACTGTGAGCACTCTGATGGGAGGGACAGTTAAAGGAACAAGCAGAATCTAGGCAAATTTTGTAAGGACTGTGATGTGCGAGGCTGGGAGGACTCTGGGAAATTGCAAGGTCCCTAAGCTACACCTGGCTCTTGTCTAAGATCTCCCGAGGGAACTCATACTGTTGATCAGCAGGATGAAACACATTTTCTCTGGGCCAAAGTCTTTGTGGCCTTGGTTCTGCTGGGTAATGAGAGCATCATGCCTTACTGGCATGAGGGAGGTCAAAGACGAACAATGAGACAGTGAAGGCAAAGCTCATAATCCCAGACAGGAGATTGGGGAGGGTCTGGGTCAAGATGGGAAGCTCAGGGCACCTGATCACTGACAGGGTCAGAGGTAAGGAGGGTTGAACAGCAGAGCAAAGGTTTAGCGGCATCAGCCTAGCCACCCCTCGGACCCTGTAGAATAAAGATTTTATTATTATTATTTTATTTATATTACTATTTAATGCAGTTTAGTGTTAAGAAAAAAAACCACAGGCTTTGGAGTCGGTATTAATTCCTGGCACGACAACTTCTGAGTTCTGTGGCTTTTGATGATTTATTTAACTTTGCTCAGCTTCCGTGCAATGGGATGATGATCTTCCCACTTGAAGGTTGATGTGAGCAACAAGTGAGATCCATTACAACATACACATCACATCCCTGTGCTCTGGGACTCAGTTGTGCTCATTCAGTACTTTACATTCCTCTTGCTTCAGGGACTGACCTTCTGGGCTCTGCGTGGGACTCCTCCAACAGGAGAAATCCTGCCTCGCCTGCTCACCAGGAGTCTCCATGACTGCAACCTTCACCCTGGCTTCCCCACGTGTCCCTATTCCTATATGATAATCATCTCGATTTAGAAATGGAGAAGCAGTATCGGGTAGGGTACATCATTTGCACACAGGTACAGCTGATAAATCAAGGCTTTTGAGTAAATTTGTGCCTGTGTGAATCTAAAGTCTTGAGTCTTTTCTAGCCATACCTATACGTTATCTATACGGCATGGAAGAATTCCTCTACTGGGAGGCAGAATTTTGTAGTCTGGAGTTATTTCAGCGAAGCAGATTCCAGGAACATTCACATCAAGAGGTCCTGTTTTGGGAGAAGTCCACATATATTTCCTTATTCTGCCAAAGAAGTAAAAACAGGATAAAGAAAATCTTCATAATCTTTACTAACAACTGGGAGGGGTTGGGAGCTAAGCTATCCCCTACTCCTGTATGCAGTCAAGTGAGTAGTCCATTCTTTGAAGATAAATGCATTTCTGTTTAAAGATATTCTATATAAGCCGGTTCAAGTATTAAAAATATGCAAGGCAAATAATCCACCAGTCAGTATTCTTGCCAAAAAAAAGAAAGAAAAAAATAGGCTTTACCCTGAATACAGACAGCTCATATGTTGACCACCAGGGCAGATCTGAAATTAAAGTCTGTCTGAATTCATTGCATGAATTTTCGGATTTTGCCCTGGACTTCTCAGCTCACAGAGGAGTTTACCATCAATAGCACCTAGGTTTCGCTGTTTTCATTTGACAGTGATGGGTACTTTTGTCTTAGGAACAAACTTTTTAATTCTCTAGGATCTTGTGGCACTTCTATAAACAGATGGTATGACATCTCAGATTTTCAATATATGCTACCGTTGCCTAGTTTGTTTTTTAAGATGAATTTTCTCCCATGAAAGGACTTATTCACTTTTCCTGAGGGAAACCTTTAAGCAAAGACACACTCACAGTT